ACATCAATCAGTGGAACTGAGAGGTTTGTGTACGAATGAGCAAAAGCCTGAAGTGGATGCAATTAAATCTGCTAAACTCCCCCTTCTCTCCCAAACACTTAAGCCCTACATCTGCTCAGTGCTTTCCCATTTACCAAGTGTTTTCCCATCATTGTCTCATTTCGCCTTCTCATCAACCCACCCACATACATTCTTGCCTTTCACATTTCTTATGTACCCAAATGAGTTTCACCAAAAAAAAAAAAAAAAATTGGACAGAAACTCTTCTTCTCCTACTCACTTCAAAACCAAACCAAACCAACCCCTAAAACTTCAACTGATATCCCAAGAGGCTCCACATCCCCAGGCAGGGTGGCAAACTTGTTTACTGTGCCTGCCCTGCTCTGCTGAATGGAGAGTAGGAGTCCTTAGTCTTTGCTATTGGAACTAACACTTTTGTAATTCACTTCATAGTTGAGCTGTTAAGACACACACACAAAAGCTACAGAGACCATGGTAAGTACAGTAGTGTGTGTGTGTGTGTGTGTGTGTGTGTGTGTGTGTGTGTGTGTGTGTGTGTGTGTGTGAAACAGACTTTGGAACCAGCAAGTCAAATTCTGATCCAACCATTTGAGGGCCATGTGGCCATAGTTAAGTTACTTACCTTCTAAAGTCTTGATTTCTTCCTCTGTGCAATGGAGTAATAATGCCTACCTCTAAGGTGTTGTGAGGCATGAGGTGGCAGCAGATCAGATCAGAAACGCTGTCCCTTTGCTTCCTCTTTTTTCCTCTTTGAGGTCAAACAACCACTTTGTGAAGTTCCTTATAACTAAACCCAAAGTACTAGCGAAAGTACCAGTTTCACCACAACTAGGCAACCTAAACACAACATTGTTTTCTGCAAGCCACAGGGAGATGTCATGTAGGTATAAATGTTGCTGAATGAATTTAGATAGAGTCTTTCTTAACTAGGTAAATAATTAGCTACATAGTTGTAATCACTGCACAGCTGCAACTAAAGTAACTGACAAGTTCTTTAACTTATTTATTTATTTATTTTGTGTGTGCTGGGCTTGAACTCAGGGCATAGGTGCTGTCCCTTAGCTTTTTTGCTCAAGGCTGACACTCTGTTACTTAAGACACACATCTAATTCCATCTCTCTGTGTAAATAAGAACCTCCTGGCCTTTGCTGTCCAAGTTGGCTTAGAACTTTGATCCTCAGATCGCAGGCTCCTGAAGATTACAGGTTATGAACACCTGTGTTTTGGTTGCCTTTATTTTTTAAGCATTTCTTTTTAAAATTTTTAGGCAAAGGGGAGAAGAAATTGCGAAAGTGGATTTATGTGATGTTGGAAAACAAGACAATTCTATCTGGATTTTTACTGAGGCTGAAGCACAAATCGACCCTATTATTGCTCCCCAGTAAAAACAGGTGGGAAGAAAGAGAGAATTGAGGGCTCTGACTGGGTCGGGGGAGGGGTTAACTCAATGGTCTGTATGTAATAGATGAAGTTCAACAAATATTGGCAGTAGAAGTTTAGCAAGACTTCATCTTGGCCTTGATCTATGTTGCTGACTTCTTGGCAAATACAGCAAGCCACTAGTAATTATAGTGGAAAGAACATTTGGCCATTGGTCTGAAGGTCCAACTTCCAGCAATCCTACTTCATAGCCTGGTGACACTGGATGTGCTATTTAATCTCTCTTAAGTGTCTTCTCACCTGTAAAATGAGGAGACTGGACTGGGCTATTTGGAAGGTTTCTTTCAGCTCTAAGGTTCTGGGGCTCTGAGTCACTTCACTCGCTTGTTTCTATTTCTTCATTTAGGGATAGAAATAGTCAGTGCACTTCTTGAAGTCCCTGTAGCTTTAGAGGTATAAGGAATGATGTGTGCAGAGCAATGTAACAGAGGAGAAGACTGAGTGTGAGTACCTTCCGGTTCCAGGCCCAGCGTAACTCATCTAGCCATGCAGTCTGGCAAGACGCCTAATTAATTTCAGCCTCTACTTGCACCTCTGTAGATTAGGCACCAGAAATTGCGCTGCGTGAAGCTCATCATCTTTCAGAAGCTGAGTTAATAAAAGTGCTTTGAAAATTTGCAAGGCACCAAGGAAAAGAGTAAACTGAGAATGGGCATGCTTGGGAAATGCTGTGATAGCTTCCTTCAGCACCGCTCCTCCAAGATTTTCACATGAATGAGTCTTGTGATCCCAGAGGAAAGACTAAGTGTAGATTGGGAGGATCTCAGCCAAGGCTGATTTTCACTGTAATTACTAATAAGTGATAATGCAGCCAAAACAGGACCCCATATAGTTTTCCCAAGGTTAGGCAGCAGATAATTACCTCAGTGTACTCCAGTTCAGGGGTTTATCCTGAGGCCAGGTCACTGCTAGGGGATGGGAGGCCTTAGGAGATCTTGCCAAAAGGAGCTCATTTTGGCAGCACCAGAAATCCTAGCTATCCAGGAGACTGAGATTTGAGGATTGCAGTTCAAAGCCAGCCCTGGCAGACAAATTTAAAAATGTTTATTTAACAAACAACAAGCTGTAAGAGGAAGTATATAGTTTAAGTGATAGAGTGTTAGCCTTGAGTGAAAAAGCTAAAGGATAGCACGTAGGCTCTGAGTTCAAGCACTAGTACTGGCACAAATAAAAAATAAATAAAAGAAACCCATTTTGACTCAAGGTGTGTGGTGGGGGGGACTGAAAGGAAGTGAGGTAGCTTTCTAAGTTTTGAAAGTTTCACTAGGTCAAAATGACAAATATGTAAAAGGTGGCTTGCTCAATGTCAAAGTGTCACGGCAGCTTCTCAACTGTAAGAGATTGGTTGCCTCGATCTCTGGCCAAAAATGTCCTCCTGTTCACCCCGAACCTGGCTCAAACTCTCCTATGGAGGGCCCTGGAAAGCCCCAGCCTGGGATCCAGCTTTCCAAAGACTGGCTTCTCCTTTGGCTCCTCAGATGACAAGTCACACCCAGCAATGACACTGAGAAGTTCCCCTATTCCCTCAGAAAATTCACATTGTCCCTGCCTGTGAAAAGCATGGCCTCCACCTGTATATGGTCCTGTGCATCACACATCTATTTCTGGCTTCACCTGAGTAGTAAAGGCAGGCTCCTGAATTTTTCTGAGTGGAGGAGTCAGCTTATCCTAAGCCTATAATTTATTAGGAAGTATGCTGTTTCTATTCAACTTGTATATGTGTAAATGCAATTAAAAATAGCAATTATTGCCAGGCGCTGGTGGCTGACACCTGTAATCCTAGCTACTCAGGAGGCTGAGATCTGAGGACCAATGTTCAAAGCCAGCTGTGGCAGGAAGTCTGTGAGATTCTTATCTCCAATTAAACATAAAACAGGAAGTGGAGCTGTGGCTCAAAGTGGTAGAGTGCTAGCCTTGACCAAAAGAGCTGACGGACAGTGCTCAGGCCTTGAGTTCAAGCCCCATGACTGGCGAAAGAAGGAAAGAAAGAAAGAAAGAAAGAAAGAAAGAAAGAAAGAAAGAAAGAAAGAAAGAAAGAAAGAAAGAAAGAAAGAAAGAAAGAAAGAAAGAAAGGAAGGGAGGGAAAGAGAGAGAAAGAAAGAGAGAAAGAAAGAGAAAAAAGCACAATTATTTAAAAAATTATTATAGCTTTTTGGTGGGTCATGGGGCTTGAACTCTGGTCCTTGGTACTGTCCCTGAGCTCTTCAGCTCAAGGCAAGTGCTCTACCATTTCTCTTCTTCAAAGACTAGGCCTCACTATATGGCTCAGCATAATCTGGAATTTGCTAGATAGCCCAAGCTACCCTGGAATTTATGAGCCTCCTGTCCCAGCCTCCAGACTGCTAAGCTATAGGTGTGTAATCTTACCTGGCTTTATAGTTCCATTTGCTGCACATATACATGAATTCAATACTCAAGTCTTTTTTTTCTTTTTTTTCAAATAACGGACTTCAAAGCAAATTCAATTTGGTTTAGTTTTTGAGAAGCCCTATCCGATTTCCGCAGCTTCCTTTTCTTCCCGTAGGTCAAGGTTATAAAGCTGTTTTACAGGAGTAATTGAAGCCGAGGCCACAGAGGGGCAGCGCTGGGTGCCCAGTGAGACTCTTCATCATCCGGCCCGGCTCTGGGGGCTGCGCCGCTTCACTGCCTGGAGCTGCAATCTCGGGGCAGTGTGTGCGGCTTGAGCCTGAACCTTTATTTCTGCGGTGAGAGAACGAACCCTGGGGAGCAGCAGATCTGGGGAGCAGCAAAGGCTGGTGGAGCGTGTGCGCGTGTGCGCGTGTGCAATGGAAAAACCCTAGTAAGACGCCACATCCTTTCTCCCATAAACAGACCCCCGCACGGGTCGCAGGGCTGCAGATGTCCCCTCCCCGCGGGCGCCGCGGGCCCGCCTCTCTCCACCTCTCCGACCTTCTCACCGCTTCCTCCCCAGCTCCGTCTTCATCTCCACGCAGAGCATCCCGGGGATGCGCGCTAGGCTCCCGGGCCGTGGAGGGGGTATCGCGATGACGTTGCCCCGGACAACGATCGCGGGGAGAGGCCTAGTTTGGAGGATGAGTGCTGGGGACAGTGAGCGGTGCCCCAGGGGGCCGCGGTGCCAGGCGCCCCCCCCCACCGGGGCGAGGACCGGTCCCGGCCGGGCCCCCGCGGGCCCCCGCGTTCCCTGCGGGGGTGCGCAGGCGCCGAGCGGTGCCTCGGGGCTGGAAGCGGCCGTGTCATTGAACTACAAAGCGGGGCCGCGGGCGCGCGAGCGGGCGGGGGTGACGGCTGGCGCTCCGGCGCGGCGAACCTCGGGCCGCGGGGAGGCCGGGCCGAGCGCGCTCCCAGCCGGCTCTCCGCACACCTCCGGCCGCGGCGAGGCCCGGCCGAGCGCGCCCCCCAGCCGCCGCCCGCGCGAGCTGCGAGCGCGCGCCGCTGAAGCCATTCATGATTTTGGTGACGTTATTCCAGGAGTGGGCGAGGGGGCGGGGCCCCGCGGCGCCAAGCCCCGCCTCCTCCGCTATAAAGGCGGCCGGCCCGGCTCTTTGTGGGACCCGGAGCTCGGTGGAGAGCGAGGCGCGCCGCGTGCTCCGCCGACGCCGCTGGCAGCAGCAGCAGCAGCAGCAGCAGCGGCAGCGGCAGCGGCAGCGGGGCGGTCTCGGGAAGGCGGACCGGCGATCGCGCAGTGCCCGCGCTCGGCTTGCCCGTCGTGCCTGGCAGCGCCCGTGTCCTCCTCATTCGGGACGCACAGACCATTTAAAACCCCCAGGGCGTGGGTCAGCCTCCCCTAGGACTTCATGTCTGTGTATTTCCCCATTCACTGGTGAGTATCCTAAGCCGGTGTGCCGGGCTGCGGGTTCGAGGTCAGCCGGTGGCACGGACACTGCCCGCCCCAGCCCCTGCGGGAGTCACATCGAGGTGGCCCAAGGTGGGGGGGGGGTGGCCCGAGGGCCAGCCAGATAAAGGAAGTGAGCTGGGAGCCCTCCCTGGAGGGATGGGAGGGCTGGGGTGGGGTGCAGGAGCCCAGGGTCCTGCCTGAACCCCCACCCTCCGGGGGGACCCCCTATGCGGAGACGCGTGCCGCCCGACGCGGGGGGGGGGTCTGCTCTCCCCTCCCCTCCCCCCTTTTTTCCTTTTTGTTTGCTTGCGAGCCTCGACGTGGAGGCCGGACGTGGAGGCCGGCTGTCTGCAGCGGGGCTGAGCCGCTGCAGCCTCCGGGTTTGCAGAGCTCTGGGGAAGGGGGGCGGGGGACGCTGTCCTCACACCGAAGCCACCAGCTGCAGCCCGGCCCGCGCGCACCCTCTCCACCCCTGTCCTCCCAGACCCCCTGTCTCCTAGGGGCCGGGCTGGGGAGAAGCCACCCTTCCTGGGCCAGGTTGCCGGGAGCGAGCTGGGGTGGGTAGACGTTTGTCCCTAGCCAGCGTGATCAGGCAGAGGAAGGATGGGGGAGAGAAGGCTCCTGGTCGCTGGGACGTGCGCGCAGGCGGCTGCTTCTTCCTTCCTGAGCTGGGCAGGAGGAGGGGCTGGGGGGGCCGGGGAAGAGGAGGGGGCGGCCGAGGGGGACCAGAGCCGGCCATCTCCCGCGCATGCTCTCAGGTGCCGGCACAAAGAGCTCAGACGGGATGGGGACAGGGGTGGACTGTAGGGAAAAGCCCCCGTCCCCCACCCCGGCAAGTTCATGCTTCGCGCTTCAACTTGTGGGACCTGTTCCTCAAATCCAAGAGAGGACGGAACACCCCTCCACCAGACCACGAGAGCCCCGAGGATGCTCCTCTGGCTATTCGTTTGTTTTGGGGGGATTTTAAGGACCCAGGGGAAAATTGCCTTGCAAGTCCCAGTTCCTGAATCTAAACTTGTTCTCCAGCCCAGCATCTTTCCCTTAATCTCCCCTCCCATCCAACAACCTGGCTGTTTAGAGAGGGGACTGAACTCTCACAACGAAGTAAATTCCCTATCCCTGAGACTTTGGTACCCCTCTTTTCTGGGAGGGGGGGTCCTTAGTTCCTTCCTCCTTGGTACACCATTGGTAGGGTGTCTTGAGGGTGAGGGTTTGAAGGCTGGTAGAGATTTGTGTCTCTTAAAATTAAGTAAGTAGCTGGCATTTAGTAAGTAGATGGCCCCTCAAATATATATATATATATATATATATATATATATATATATATATGTTAGACTTCAAGAAATTGGAAGTTTAAGGTTCTTCTATTGACGAGCATTGGATAGTCTGTAACACTTCCTTTCCATAGACTATGTCTTTAATACAATCATGCCATGCATTAAGATCAGCCTCTTAGTAACAAACAGGGCACCTGTGGCTCAGTGGTTGTACCACTGTTTTCAAGATCACACAGCTCTTGAATGGCAGAGTCTAGAACAGAAACTCTTGGCTTCTGTTTCCAAACCTGATGCTAACCATCTCCCTCCTTCCCTCCCTCCCTCCTTTCCTCCCTCCCTCTCTCCCTCTGACTCCCCCCCCCCCCTTCTCCCTCTCCCTCTATCCCCTCTCATATTTCAGTTTTGGAGGCTTGAACTCAGGGCCTGGGCATTGTTCCTGAGCATTTTTCTCAAGGCTAGCATCCTTCCTCCTGAGCCACAGTGCCACTTTCAGAGGTGTATGTGTGTGTGTGCGCGTGCACACACAGGCACACACACGCACGCACCACACATGCTTAATTAGAAATAAGAGTCTCATATACATTCCTGCTGGGCTGGCTTTGAACCTCAATCCTCAGATCTCACCTTCCTGAGTAGCTAGGATTACAATGAGCCCTGGACACCCAGCTCCAATGCCATTTCTATGTACTCTATGTAGTAACAAAGACAATGAAGAACCTGCTGTCCCTGTTTTCTTAGCTATCATCTCTCTAATGCCCACCTCACCTTTTTCTTAAACAATTTGCACAGACATGATGGTGAAAATACTAGGTGTTACGTAGCTGGTACCTGGATTTGATGTGTTTGGCATTGCGTGTTATGGGAACCCTGTGTGTTCCCGTGGCTGTGCGAGGATAATGGGACATTTGTATCCTGCTTAGAGAGTACAAAGCACTTTCACATGCCGGCCATTGGTGGGCCGGCTTAGCCCCTCTGGAAATTTCCTTTGCAATCAGAGTCCTGGTATCCTTAAGGCTTTTTAATCCAGAGGGTGTTGTTCAAACTATGAGCATGCAGCTGCCCACGCTGAGGCGAGGCGAGGCGAGGCGAGGGGAGGGAGTTGGATGGCAGATAAGAAGCTGGCTGAAAAGCTGACCCCTTGGGACTCTAAGTGGGACAGTTTGCTAAAAGGAGCACCAAACAGACGGCCATATAGGGAGCCAGCATGACTGGGCTTTGTTTCCCTGTGGCTGACCTGTTATTGTTATTATGTAATAATAATGATATGGACTTTCTCTTTGTAAATTTATGTGAGATTTTTATTCTAGGTAGTGGAATGAAGGGTGACCTGGAGGAATTAGCTTTTATATGGACACACAACTCAGCTACCTATTGCTGTGGATTTTTTTTTTTTAGCTCATCAATGGAAAGAAAATCCAGGGTCACCCTTTGTGGGAGGGGATTACAGTGTAGAGGAGAGTAGGGAAAAGGAGGTTTGCAGACCATGGGCTTTGCTAATCCATGGTACTGGAGGCCTGGAAGGTGCCTCCTTCCATGTAAGCTTGTTTTGCTGCTGTGAGGTCTGATTTGGGCACCTCTTTTCCTGTCTTCAGACAGTGCCCTGTTCTCAGAGCCATAAAGATGCTGAGAGGAGGAATGTAAGAGTGTGCATGCGTGCATGCATGTGTGTGTTGACTTTTGGTCTGGGTTTCTTGGCAGCCCTGACTGTCTGAGATCGGCCGAGATGACTGAGGTGATGATGAACGCCCCATCCATGGAGGAGATTGGCCTCAGCCCCCGGAAGGATGGTCTGTCTTATCAGGTAAGTTCAGTACTAGGTTCCCTCTGATTGCTTAGAGCCTGGTGGCTTTCATTGGGATTGGAAGAAGACTTGGTTTTGTGTCCCAGTGACACCTATAAGAGCTATGTGACTCCAGGACAGTCCTTGAATATCAGTAATCCTGGGCTGTACACACACACACACACACACACACACACACACACACACACACACACACACACACGGTAAGCATGCAATGTCACAGGAGTGTGGGATTAAGACATAATGCCTGGGACACATAAGGGTCCAGCAGACATTAGCTGTCATTATTAATTAGCCAGCTTGGCTCTGAGAAATCTCATTCCCATTGGCAAAGGTGTACTCAGTTCAGACCAGAACTTCCCTCGCCAGCCATGCCTGGGGAGGAGGAACATGGCAATGGGAAGGCCCATGGGGGAGGGCAATCTGATGGGAGAATGACTGTCAGACCCTCTCTGCCTCCTCAGGGTTGTGAATGAGCTGCTTAAAATAACAAAGGAAGTTCTCTCAAGGTATGCTGCTACTGGAATCTAGCAGAGAGAACATCTTGAATGCCAGATCCAAACTGCAGAAAGATCACAAAAAGGGAGTAAAGTGACTTCTCCACACTCCTTTTCCAGTGCTCTTTCAGGCTTGCCATGCCTAGCAGGCGACAGGGCACTTCAGTCATCTCTGGGGTAGAGAACTGGTTTTGGACTGTCAAGGAATGTTTTTTCCAGGTGCCAGTGGTTTATGCCTATAATCCCGGCTGCTCAGGAAGCTGAGATAGGAGGATCACGGTTTGAAGCCAGCTGGGGCAAGCAAATCTGAGAGACTCCTACCTCCAAGTAACTAGCAAAATTATGACCTCTCATCCTGCGATGAGGACCTAGACCCAGCCCTAGGGAAGAACATGGGTCTTTCTACCCTCAAAGCATTGTTCTTCTGCTGTACCATGCACCTGCACCTTAGATTGGTTCTGATTGTAGTCTAGAGCTATCTGGTTGGTTATTCCCAAAAGTAGTTCCAGGGGCATTGATTTCATAAAGATAGAAACAAGTAGGAAACCTGGAATGATAGGAAGAAGGGACTCAAAAGGAGCAAAGATGAAAACTAAGGTTGGGAACATAACTTCAGAAATGCTTGGGAGGATCAAGGAGGCCCCTTTGTTTTGTGTCAATATAGTCAGTCTTGCTGGTTGCTAATAAGGATCCCATGAAGCTATAGAAGTAGGAAGCTGAGGGTGCTGCTTTTTCCTGGGCTGGTTGCATATTCTCCTCCATCAAAGTAGGTCAAGAAAGACAGTCAAGGGCCTCCTGGCCTAGGGGGAGGTACAGGACTTTCCTGGTCAACCATCCAGTGTGTTTTTGTATAGTAATTTCCAAGCCTCTGAGTCACATTGAATCTCTTAATGGTTATAGGTGAGGTTTTTTTTCAGTTCTGGGTTCTAGATTTCCATCACAGAACCTTTCCAGACATAGTCATCAGTAAGTATTGCATGTACTTCTTGTATTCTTTACAACATCAGCCAGACACTGCAGGGTAGTCTTTTAGAACTTTAAGTCCTTCAGGCCCTTCTTCTAGATCTGAGGGTTATTAGCGCAAGTGACCAAGGAATTAGAGGAGTTGAGTTAGGGCTGCAGTGGCCAGAGAAAAATAAGATCATGTCTTTCTGGCCTCATGATGCTGGCTCTAAATCCCATTCCCACAGTCCCCAGGAAATCTGTCCCTGTCCTCTGAGTGGGGACCACTGCCCAGTACCATAAGACCTTACCTGGAACTTTGGATCACTATTTTCATGAGAGGATTTCAGAAAGGGCTCTTGGTTACCTTGATGTGGCATGAAGCAACACTTATTGGGCCTTGTCCATGTGAAACTTGCTCTGTTGGCCACTTCCACAGAGTCTAGGTTTGGGTTGGGGAACTAACATGCACATGAACTTACCGAACACAGGCAGTGTGGTCAGTCATTCAGGGATGGGCTGTAGGAAGCTACAGTCAATCTCAATAGAAGCCGTGCTGATGCAATTTGATGGACAGAAGCTGAGTAAGTGTGGGGCAGGGAAGTCAGGGTAGGGCTTCAAAGGAAAATGAGGACCTGGGAGGGATACTACCACCTTTTCTGTAATTTTGTTGAGGCTTCAGATCCCTCTTGGCTAGCTCCTGTTTAGGCTAAATGAGGGGCTCGGAAATGAGCAGGTAGAACAACTTTTAGTTGACTCTCTGGGCCCCTTCAAGCTAGTGATATCCAACTAAAAGCTTTTCCACTAACGTTCTGGGGATTGTCTGGGCCGCCTCTTGAGCTAAGTCTATCACCATGAATACTTGGGCTTGGCTCATGGCTAGGAGTCTCAGAGCTCTGTTCTTGGCTTTACTCCTGAGGATAATAATAGTATGTAGCTTTTTCTGAGACCTACTTTTCCAAGGAACTGAGAGAGGCATTAATCCTGACTTGGCATATGAACAGAATCTCAAGCTTGTGATTTGACCTTGGAACAAGGTCATCAGATATATATGACCCATTGGAATTTGTCAATCCTTGCCCCCACCATCTAGCCCTACTGAGAATGAAGCTTTTCTGATTTCTTTCTCCTGGGCGTGACCTGTCTATCAGTACCTGTGGCATTTTGTACTTCTCAATGATACCTCACCGTCTCCTTACCTGGTCATTGAGAGCAAGGGATAACTTACTGTTATCTTTATCCCTCTCCCTCCCTCACCCTGGATGCCCAGCATCTTCACATGGCAGGTGCTGGGCATGTAGGCACCCATTATTACTTCTTCGCTAGCCTCAGACCTATGTCTGTCCAGGTTACTACAGATAGATGCATGTTTATGTCCTGAAAGATTTAGGTCGGTCTACTACTGTCCCTTGAAAGTTAGTGCCATATTGCGAGCATATTTAAAAGTCTACAAATCCTCTGCCTTGTTTTGTCTACATCTCCCGTGAAACAAGTGGAACCTATGCTTGCACATTTACTTGGCACAAATTGTGACACCTCATGGAGTGGGTGAGTAAATGGTTACTAGAAAGTCTGAGGACATGTTGAGCAGGCTGCAGGCAGCAGCCAGCTCTCAGAGATGAGTGGGAGGATCATTTGTGTCCACCAGAGCCGTAGCATTTTCTTCTGCAGTCTCTATCTGTCTGTCTGTCTGTCGGCCTGCCTGTTTGTCTCTCTCTCTGCACCTTGTTCCTGAGTACCAGCCTGGGAGACAGGATGTCTACATCCATCCCATGCAAGTCACTGGTTTCTTGGTGGAGCCTGCTCTTTCCACGGCTCTAGGACTCTTTAAGAATATGGTGATTGGGGCTGAGGTAGAGTCTTGGTAGATTCTTGGTCTAGGATGCCCAAGCCCTGCATCCAATCCCTAAGCACTGCAAAAAACAAATAAATAGAGTTTGGGAAATTGTCTCTCTCCGAGGGACTTTTTCCATTCTATACCCACATTGGCCTGGGCTCTAGACAGAGAAGAGTCCTGGGGATTTGTCTGTGGAAACCCAAGGGGCCCTGGGATGCTGGCCTTGCTGCCTAAACTCCCCTAGCATGGCATGCGGAGGCTTACAGTTTTATGCCCTTGGTGATATCTGGTTTTCATTTCTGTCTGTCCCTTCCTTTGTATCTGATACTGTCATCCTTTCCTGGGCTCTTTAAATCCTTCCCTTAGCAGCACCTGCGTGGCTGCACTTGCCTTCCAGCCACCATTACTCTTGGTCATGTAGAGCTGTTACTCTGGGTCAGGCAGGAATCGGGTCTCTCCTCCAGGAGGCCCCATGCAGGGCTCCCATGCCCAGTGTATGGAACAGATCACAGATCTCCCTTTTGATCACAGAGCTAGTGCTTCCTCTGCTAAGATAGGAGGGAGAGAAATTGGGCAGGAGGGAGAGTGCTGGGCTGACCTTTCTTTATGTCTGCCTATTATTTGCTTCTTCCCGTACCAAGAACCTCAGTTGTGGCTGTGTTCCTGGGGACAGGACTGAAGGATTTGTGTGGCCTGAAGAGCAGCTTCCCAGTACCAGGTCTTAGAGTCAGCTGCTGCCTTCTCTGCCCCCTTACTCTATAAGAGTAGTGGCTTCTCTCTAAGGAGAGGCTCCCTGTTATCACAAACTTTCCTCCCATCTTTGTAAGTCTGTCTGCATGAAGTCTTTTTTTTTTTTACCCTAATGTGCTGGTACTGATGCTTGAACCCAGGGCACGAATGCTGTCCTTAGTTTTTGATTTTTTTTTTCCACTTAAGGCTGGTGTTCTACCACTTGAGCCATACCTTCACTTCTAATTTTTGGGCAATTAATTGGAGATAAAAGTGTCACAGACTTTTTTTGTTTGTTTGTTTTGGCTGGCATCACACTGTGATCTTCTGATCTCTGTCTCCTGAGTCACTAGGATTATAGGTGTGAGCCACACCAGTGCCCAGCAGTAGGCATGAACTCACTGTGCATTATTGTATCTGGAGCAGCAAAGTTCAACACTGTTATCTTCCCCCGCCCCCCCCACCCCCTTAGTCATGGGACCAGAATTCTGGGCCTGGGTGCTGTCTCTGAGCTCTCTAGCTCAAGGCTAGCACTCTATCACTTGAGCCACAGCGCCACTTCCGTTTTTTTTTTCTTATGGGGTACTGAGGAATAGAACCCCGGGCCTCATGCATGCTAGGCAGGCACTCTACCACTGAGCCACCTTCCCAGTCCAACACTGTCATCTTATAAGTGCCCCTCTAATCCCACGCAGCACAGCCGGGCTGCCTAACAGTAGAATCTGCTTCCTTTATCACTGGTGAAGCCCTCAGGCAGGTTCTTACTCACCTTCCTGTCCCCACCAGGAACTCCTCCTCCTCCAGACTGGACACAACTTATCAGCTACATTTGTGTCCTCCTCCCCACTCCCCTTGTCTCCTTGGTTACCCCCAGCCCATCATACCCCACATGGAGTCCAGAGTTTCTCGGAGGCTGCGATGAGCAGCTGTGCACACAAGTCCCATGGTCGTCAGGAAATCGTCTTTCACAACACCAGACTTTAAAAAGCCTTCGT